ATTTTTCGTCTTGATTTCAAGAACGTTTTCTTCTCGATAGGGGCAAGACAAATTTGGAACTAATAACATTTGATCTTGTTTCCGTCTATTTTTTTTTGGGTTCTGAATTCAACCAGTAATATATCTAACTTTTTTTACCAACTCTTAAATTATAAAAATATTTAACAAATATATAAATTCCTATATTGGTTTCTGCTACAAAATAAAATTGAACTATCTTATCGCCTAATCATATCATAAATTGGAGTTGCTGTTTGCCTTGACTTTAGCTAATTAGTTAATGCAGGGGTCCCCAGAAACATTTGATGGGACCAGCAGAGACAAGAGTTTCCCCTAATAGACCACCCCATCCACAGCCACAGCCACATCTACAAAGACAACCCAATCCCAGTCCCAATTCCAGGCCCAATCCATAGACGACCCATTGATTTACGTTCATATTTAGTGCGGTTATTTATGTCGTTTGTTGCATGTTCCCCAACTGGTTTCAGGTGGCGTGCCCCATTATCATCCCAGGCGAGTGTGTATCGGTGTGTGAATTGGTTTCCCATTGGCTGAACATATGCCCACTGCCACGCTTATCTGCGATGCTGATTAACTGATTTATATGGCTGGTCATTGCTTATGCATTGATCACCGTATTTTTTCGTCTGATGGTCTCGAAATGGTCGAAATGTTCGAAATGGCTATTGGAATTAGAGTAACAGTTTCAGTTACCATTACAATTGACCCGTGACATGTGCGAACTTTGGCATGTGTCCGTCTGTCTGGTTTTTTTTTTGATTGGCTTGCGGGTAATTTCCAAGGCACCAGCTCGAATGACTTATTTTGTTTCAATTATATTGTAATTATATAGCAATTAGGTATACCTTTGTCGCTTTGCTTTGTTTTCGGTTAACTTTGCCGTAATGGCAGAGGACAGTGCCTAGCACGTTAAGCTCATGTGATGCTGACGAATCAGGTGCATATGGCATTTAAGTACAGTGCGGTTCGGATTTGTAAGTGTTAAGTACATTTTAAATTAGAAACATATTTCGGTGTATGTTAGATGTTGTATAACCTATCAATTTAATACCAATAATTTTGCTATCTCTTATATTGTCCCTTTTTCGATTTGAGAGTACTTTCAAAACTAGGAAATACAAAAAAATTCATTTCTCAATAACTAATTAAGATTATTCAATGTAAGAATTTTGGGTACAACACTTACCATGGTATATCAAATAAATACTTAATTTAATTTAATATTAATTATGTTTGAACTCTAATGTTCCCATAAGTATTTTAGGTTTGTAACCTCTATAAGTCATACATGAGGATGATAAACGGCGTTAAATAATTTAATAGAGTATTTTATTTATTTCCTGATAAAGTTTAAGATGCTCGAAATTGTATTTTTAAATCTATGTCTGCAAGACTGATTATGAAGGGAAACAGGAAAGCCATTAGAATGCTAACTTTCAGGACTTACACTTTATTCCGCACTGTCTTACCAGCGATATATATTTCAATAACCGAACAAATAGGCCCTGCTTGACTGCTTGATGGTGCCGTGCACCTAATTGCCGTCCCAATTATTGTAAAGCCCAGAGATATACCCAGCTGATAGTTTCGAATTATTGTTTGCAATTGGGAAAACTGATAACAAATAAGTCGAAACAAAGACCTTGGTGCAAGGTGCAGCGGAAGCGGATGCCGGGCGACAAAGGCCCAAATGGGGTCATCATTGCAGTTTGCTCGGCTGGATGCCGGATTAATGGCCGGCTAACACGCGTTCGTTTGGCAGTTGGGAGAGAGCTAGCTGCTCATCATTCTGGCCCGGTCATCATTCTGGCCCTGTAAAACAAAAGACTTAGGCAACGAACTGTGTTCTTGCGGCACTTAACCCAAAACACCAACAACTGCGCTAAGAACATGCCATTTCACGCCTCCAAACAACTCATAATTCATGCGTTCAATGGCCAGCAAACAAATGCTGCATAACAAATGACCAACATAGGGCTAGAATATCCAAAAAATAAATACGAAATTGAGGTATCCAAAGCACGTTTCTTGTGTAGCAAAGACGCATCGAAATTTAAAGAGCAATTCATAAGCATAAATGGCCATTATAGAGACATCATTGCGGGCCGGGTTCCGATGGCTGGTTATTGGATTTATTACCAAACCAATTTCGATTTTCTGTCCACTCATCTGAAAGCAATTAATCATCGGCGGAGCCTTCAGTTACCGTTCCTCAATTAGAATCGTTTTTTGTTTTTTTTTTCTTCTGTATTTTTTGTATATTTTTTTCTTCATAAATTATTTTTATTTATTTTTGTGATTTTTTTTATGGATTTTTCTGGTGATTGCCATTAAATTTAATACAATTTTCCATTTTTTTTTGTTTCGATTTTAAATAAACATTACTTTTGCTTTGATTTATATATATTCAACTATCAATATGGCCAAATTACAATACATTTATCGTTTACACTTAGCACATAATACATCATATTTATATATATAGTTATACATATCGTATTCTGTTTATACCTCAGACATAAATTAGGTTAGGACTAAACTGGCTTTATACACACAACTTAGGGGATTACGGTTTTATGTTTAGTTGGTTTTGCTTTTTTTGTGTTTTTTTCCTCTTTTGTTTTTTCTATAATTATACAAAAATTGCTAACAAATGTATTTTACAAATTGCCTTTAACATTTAATTTAATTAAATTTATTACATTACCTTTAAGTCTATGTATATTTAAATGTTTATGTGTGTATATTTTTAAGACTTAGGCATTAACATTGAACATTTAAGTGTGTGTTTTTAGTTTTAAAAGTTGACGGCGGCCTTTGCTTTCAATCAAAAACATTTTTCTTCTCCCCCAACTGCTTGTTAAATTTATTTTACAATTGCTAATGGCGCGCCTTAGTGAAATTTGTTATATTTATATTTATATATATAGATTTTACTTTTTGTTTATCACGTCTGTTTTGTTTAGAGTCTAAGAATTTAACTAGTTTACAGTAGGCATACGCTCTAAAGTATTTGTGCAATTTTCAATTGCGTTTTGCGAATTAGGACAAACATCTCAAGCAACTTCACTTAAACCTACGATTTTTGTTTTTTCATTTATACAAAAATGTTTACTTTTGGACGTGCATTTTAACTGTTTTTGTTTATTGTATATAATAATTTTAGTTCTCTGTGTGCTTGATTCTCGTTTTTTTTTTATCATTTGTTATATGTACACAATAAATATTTATGAAATTCCCCCTTACAATCCATCGTTCGGTTTTTATGGCAGTTCATAAAGCACAATTAAATACGCTGAATTTGCGGCGAGAAATTAAATAATTAAGCGAAATATGAAACATAAGGAAAAACTATACAAACACTCACAGAAAGCCATAAAGGAAAAATAAAATAAAAGTAATGTGCAGCCCTTTAATTAATTTTAATGGGGCTTTTGTTATTGCTGCCGGCACTCGGCTTTTGGCTCTCGGCTCGCAGCAGCAAAAAACAGCAGCGACAAAGCTTAAATAATTAAAAATTGCACGCAATGTTTACAATTAGGAATAGCCAGCGTTCGTCCAGTTGGCACACCACCCCCACTCCATAAAACACCATATTATATTATATTATACTCGGCTGGGATGTCAAGGGCTCGGTGCCACTGTCAATTGCTGGCCAAGGAGTCCTCAGTTTGGCATTGTGTTTTGTCTGGTTTTTATCGTTTATTTTTTGTTTTGTTTGTTTTGTCTCGATTTATTTACTGCTCTCAATGAAGTCGATTCAGGCGTGGGTAAGAAGTCGCGGCTTAACTGAACAGATTGTTGTTCAAGTTGTTCCCGCTCCATCACGTGTAGTCAGTGCGCCAGGTGCCCTGGAGGAGAAAAGAGGAGGAAAATCCAGGTGGAAAATTAGTAAGAGTCAGACTTGCCATCTAAGGATAAAGTTTGCACAAGAAAAACAAGTTTAACTATTTAACTGAATTTTAGTTTATGGCTTAAGCTATCTGGAGTATGATCTATAAATTATTTTACTCAAAGACTAAAGTATCCACAAAAAAGGATATTTTAACTTTTTAATTTAATTTCAATTTATTGCGTAAAGTGTCTGGAGAATGATCTTAAATTTATTTTATAAATCCATTTCTGCACATTTTTAAATTCTATTCTATTCTATATATCTTCTAACTCTATCATTAAATATGTTTTTGTATGCTAATAGCATATAGTTTTTTATTTTAAAGGTTACCTTTCCTTAAAAATTTCAAAATAGTATTTACTTTGGTAAGGGAGGTACAAATTACTCAAATTGAAAAGAAAACCAAACTATATTAACTACTAAATGATATACATATGCCATAAAGCCTAGCTTTAATAATAATAATCCCAAATAATGGTTATTTTCAGTCCCAAGATAATAATAGTTGTTATATATTTTTAAACCTCTTAAGTATAATTTCAAAGGTGTAATATACCCTAGTCCCTTTCTTTTCTGAGCTGTTTTAAAATAATAATCGCAAATATGATTATTTTTGGTCCTTGCATGATAAAAGATATTTGATTTTTCAAAACCTATAAGGTACTTTTATAGGTGTTATATTTCCAAGTCCCTGTTTTTTCTCTGTGCCCTAAAAGCTCTCCCAAAAAGCTGCTAGTGGTGTAGAATCTCTCTTGAACTCACCATCGAACTGAGGCCCAAGTGGTAGGGCTGCGAGTGGGGCACCACCGCTCCGCCGAGAGAGCCGGCGGTGGAGAAGCCGCCCTGCAGTCCGCTCGAGGCCCCAAAGCGCCCATGCCGCCGGTGTACCAACTGCCATGCATGTGCGCATGTGCCGGATGCAGTCCGCTCGAGAGGTGTCCATGTTGTGCTAGAAAGAGCAAGAAAATGCCGGGGAAAAACCAGTGTTAGTTGGACTGAAGGTTATTAAACTGCAGGCTTTAAGAGATGCTTACCCATGGAGGCCGAGAAGCCGCCGCCGAATCCTTTGAGGGATCCAACGGTTGAAGTCACCCATTCCCAAATGACCTCCCATTGGCAGACAGCCGCCGCCAAGACCCTTCTTCTTCTTGGACTTGGAGCTCAACTTGCGATTACGCGTCTGAATGCCCTCCTTTTTCATTGTTAGAGGACGATTGACCTGGAAAAAAGGGGACACATTTAATATAAATTTATATAGGTTATGGGAAAGTTATATTACAATTTAAAGCTATTTTCTGACTTTAAAATTGGATTCTAAATTGTTTTGTTATATTGTAATATGCCTGAAATACACCTAAAATACTTCTTAAATTTTCTTGTTTTCCTGCGTGTAGGTGGAAAATCAATAAAGTAAAAGCGGGCCGAAAAGAGGGCTAAAACCGTCAGCGACTGACCACTAAAATGGGTCAAATTTATGCAAATTCATGGACCGGAAATGCCGCTAGCTGCACACGCTGTCTGTGTGAGACAGGGGTGGCTGTGTCTGTGTGTGTGTGCGGGTATGGTGTGTGAGTGAGTGCAACCGGGAAGTGAAAATGAAGTATTACAAGCATTTCTACACGATCAGATAAGCGACATTTGCGAATGCGATTAGTTGGCGCTGATAGCGCTCCCAACGGCACCCGGGTAATGTTTTTTTTTTTTAGTATATTTTTACTTGAAGTTGCTGTTGTGCTGCTGCAGTTGCTGCTGCTGTTGTTGCTGCTGCTGTTGTTGCTGCTGTTCCCTTGGCCATTGTTGGGCTCTCTTCATATGCAACTCCTTATCACTTGCGAACATCTAAGCGGCAGCATGCGCTTCATTGCGCTACAATTACAATATTGGGTTACCCATTCCCAGCAGCAGCAGCAGCGGCGGCAGCAGCAACATTTGCAGCAGCAACATTAGCAACAAAACCAAGGGGAGGCAGCTCACAAAGGCAAATGCAACATTACAAAGGACCAAGGGCTACCTGGGCGTGAATTACGACATTGTTGGTGCCTCTTTTTTTTTTTGGATTATTCTGATTGTGTGCCCTCTAAAAAGCAAACAGAGAAATTGTTAAATTGCCCAGCGAGCCCACTTTGAAGAGCCGAGATTTTCGGGAGGGTTGCTTGATGCGGCGACAAAAACGTATCACTTACATAGGAAAAGGAAACCCTGTGGATGGATGGATGGATGGTTGGGGAGGATCTCAGGGCAGCCCACGTAATTGATAGTCTCTCTAGCGTTTAGCGCAAATTGCCGCAATTAGCAACTCAACGGCAGCTGCGAATCTCTCTCTCTCGGCGAGCTTTAATTGATATGCAGCAACAAAGCATAAAGTTGTTAATGCCCAGGCCTAGCTCATTAAGAAATTCAGAGGAAAGCAATCCCCCCCAAATGGGGATCTCTGGCCTTAGCATCAGTATCAGCAGATTAACTTCTTTATGCATAAAATCTAAATCGAGCGTGGAACGAACACGCGCCGCTGCAGCTGACTGGCAACTTGACAGCCCCCGGGAGGAAAATGCGGCAGCAAGTAGCCCACCCACAGACCACACTCATATGGGATATACACCAGATATACACCCGATATATCCCAGAGATCTCAGAGAAAACAGAGGTACCGAGGCCGACGGTAGAACGGCGCAGTCACCGTTAGGTTGACCTTTATGATTTCTTATAATTTCTTATATTTTGTTTTCCTTCGCCACAGGACATCATTGCCCAGCAGGTCAGCAAGGACTTTTTGAACCTGCTCTGAACTATTGTCCCTCATTTGCCGTTAATTAACATGCTGATTCTCCAAGATAGACACCGATTTCAAGGAACTCCCGAGCAGACACGCGCAGATGCCAGATAACAGATCAAAGATCTAGCAAGTGCATATCCAGAAAAGAGCCACATACCGATACGGAAACGAGTGTTTTTCAGATTACAGTGGTTGTGGGTTGTTGGGTAGGGGAAAAATAGTATCTATAAGTTATATTTTTATACCAAATGGAAGAGAAAGGAATATTTTTGTTAAATAGAGCAAATATATCATTTTATGATTATGATATATCAGTTTGATAGATGATAATGTTATCCAATCAAGTACACTGGAAAATTATCTTATAATATCATAAACATTTATATATCAAATTAATTTTGTATTATATATAATCCGAATTCTAGTTATCACATTCTAGGGGCTCCTTATTTTTCTATTTTTTCTAATTCTTCTACTTTCTTCCCCTTAGCCAAGTCCACTGTACCGCTAGGCCAAAGTGCCTGCAACATTTCCATAAAATGTGCCAATCACTTCGGTTAGAGGCCCACACAGGCGGCACAGCTCGAAATGACAAACGAATTGAATTGAAATGAACTGCAAGCCAGAAAAGCGACCAAACCAAACCAAAGCCACTAGCATGAGAAGATAGAGAGAGACGGCGAAAGGGGTATGGAAAGAGAGGGAGCACCTACATACATGCGCTTGGCCAGAAAGAGATGGCGGAATGGCAATGGCAAAAATGCGCGCTGATTGGCATCTTATCGAGATGGGCCACTGTCCAATTGAAGGAAAATTTTTGCAAAAATACATTTCGCCTGTTCAGCCACCCAAAGTGCATTTTCTCGTATGTCGGAAAAGTTTTTACTTTGTGCAAATCAGATTACGGAAAATATATAGAGCAAATGTGTGTGTCTGTGTGTGTGTGAGCCTGCTCGCTCTTTGATATTTGCCTTTTATGGACGGGCTCAATTAAAAATATTTCGCCTTTGCCGATTGCCATCGAAATGCAGCCGCTTTGCTTTTGCCTTTTCCTTGCAAGTGGCTTTTGCCACAAGTGGCGGCCGCAACTTAATTAGTTTGCCACACAGCCGCACAGCCACTGTGCGGCACAGTGGGCCAGACAGGTGGCCCATCACTTAAGGGCCACTGACATGTAAATGTGCCAAAAGTTCAACCGCAAAACTCATTAAAACTTGACTGCAGGCCACGAAAAGAAAACCCCCAAAAAGGAAAAAAAGAGACATTCACATAAAAAATAAGGAAAATCTTAAGGTGGGGGGAAAAACTTGAGCTTATCCCTGAAAAGCGTGGCTAATGAATATTTAATAAGAGATTTCAGACTTCGAGGGGATGCCTGGGATGGCTGAACATTATTCAATTGAATGCAGTTAGCCGGGTAGTCGATTACATAAATTAACTCTGGCAAAAAGGGGAGATCTTCTAGCATCCTGCCACGCGTTGCCCATAACTGGAAATCAGGGGAAAAGCTTATCGCATTTTCACAGCCAAACACCAGAGACGCTTATCGCCGGGTGCCAAGTGAAGGGCGATGGGTGGTGGCTAACTGGCATCTTTAAATAATCATCGGGCATTCATCATCATGGGGGTAACAACAACCACACAACAATACAGCAACCTGCTGCGGCAACAAATGGAGAAGCTAAACGGCAGTCAACCCCCTGGGGTGGCCGGAAAAGCGGAAGACGGGAAAGCGGGAAACGGAAGAGGGCGGGCTTTCCAGACACTTCATTTTTGTCACATTTAATCCGGGTGCGTGCGCTTCCTGTCCGGCAAACACTCGCGAGGAGAGTGTCTGAACCCAATGTTAAATGTGGCGTTAAATCGCGCAGATCGAAAATCAATAGGTTTGGAGTGGGGGTCTAAAGATGCTATAGAAGCTAAAGTTCCGCTGACCAATGGACCTGAACTACACTCAAAAAAGGGTTCTTAGAAATATGGAATATGCCATTTAAAAAAGATATTACATTTTTATTTAAATCAGGGAAATCGATTTAGACTTAAGCCTAAAGAGTCTTGTGATAAGAATTATACAAGTGCAATTATTGATTTTTCTAGCAGAAAAAATTTTATTATATTTAAAAATCATTAAGAAGGGAATGAGTTTTAGAAAGGAATGGTTTTTAAGAGTATGCTTGTTTTGTGTTGAATATGAAGATACATTTATTTTAAGCAATTAAATCTACACTTGAATAGTTCTAAAAAAATATATAAATTAAAAAATTAATTTTTAATAGAAACCGTTTTAAATATTACTAAAACCAATAGGAATGGGGTATACCAAAGACCTATAGAGATTGTAATAATTTCTAGTGAAAGTTATTAAGTGGATTCCTTTTGAAAATAATGCTTTAAAAATAACCAAACCTCTCTGCTTAATAGTTCCTCTTTTCTATTAATCCTCACATATTAATCATTTTTTTTTACTGTAGGCATAAATAACTTTGAAGATACTTACATTGTGCAGCTTGTAGTACAATCCGCAGGCGTTGCACACGGGTTCGCCGCTGGCATTGCGTCGCCAAAGGGTTGTGGTCGTGGTCTTGCAGTTTGGCGCAGGATGTGCCCGCCCTTTTGGCCGCACTCTGCAGCGATTGCAGGGTCTATAAATAGAGGAAGAATAATACGGAAAAAGGGTTAGATAATGCCCAGGAAATTATGGTTATTTCTGTGTATTTCCTATATCCTTAAAAAAATTGATTATGCCATGGCTAATTGAACAGCGCCAAAACTAACGCACAAAAGTCAGCCCCAGGAATCTGTGGTCCCTCCTTTTGTATCCCCTCCCCCCCTTGGAAAACAAAGTTGCTTAACACACCAGGCAACAACATTTTTTAGATGGCATACCAAAAAAAAAAGAAGAAAAAAAGAACTGTGGAGCCCAGAGAACTCTGAAACTCAGACGGGGATGTTGGAGATGGAGAAGGAGACACACAGAACTGTGGCTGCCTTGCGTTCGACTTGGGTTAACAGCAGCATCAATTCATTAAAATGACAATTTTTACAAAACTGCCCAAAAACAACAGCAGCAACAACAGCAACAACAAGCTGGGATCATGTCTGTGCCACGCTTAAATTTCCACGAATTGGCTACAAGAACCGAGAATCGAGCAACGAGCCCAGAGAATCGAGAATCGAGAACCAAGAACCAAGAATCGAGAGCCCCCAAATCCCAGCCTCTGTGCCTGATCCCTCCCCCCATTTCTGTAGTACAGACTTTGTCTGCGTTTTGGTCTTCGTTATGGCATGGTCCCTCCATTGGTGCCCCCTCTATAAAGACACTGAAAGAAGGTCTTTATGGAAGATGGTAATATGAAAATATCATATAGTTTATAGTTTCCATTATAGAAATAAATTTAAATTGGTTCATGAATTTAGTACACCTCTGTAAACTACAGGATTTTTAATAGATTCTTAGGATGGTAATATAAAATATTATTCATATCATAATACAGTTAAAAAAAAATGTATATTGGTTCAAGAATTTAAAATACCTTTGTAAATGCACAAATAATCCTAGGATGGGATTTGAAAATATGATATATTTTCTGATCGTCGATTAAAGAAATAATCTACAGGAAATTTTTAATAAAATCTTAGGATGGGAATACGAAAATAGCATATAATTTCTGATAGCCGAATATAAAAAATAAACATGTGGTTTTAAAAATCAGTAAATCTTTGTATGAACCACTTATTTCTCTGAGTGCAGCCTTCCAGTTTGGCTTGTTCATGCTGCTGGTACAACACATGGCTACGAGGCCTTAAACTGGCGTTGATCATGTTTGACTTTGATTTTTAATTGTTGCCTCTGCCACAAGGGAATCGCCTTCGTCTCCGAGAGTTTGAATTCGACTTCGATCCGATCTCGATTTCGATCTGTTTTGTTTTCCTTACTTTTTGTTTTATTTTTTATTTTTGGCTTTGCTCTGCTCTGATCTGATCTGCTCGGTGTGTCTCACCTGTTCCCGATTTGGCGATTAACATAAATCAGAGGTCATATGGCCAGGGAGCACCACTTCTCTGAGCCGTTGGTGTCTGCGTTTTTTTTGGTGGCACTGTCTTGTGTTAACGAGCTTGTAACAATTTCTGCAGACAGCGCACGCGGACCGAAATGCCGGCCAAAATGCGAAAAGTGAGAAATTCAAAATTAATTTCAACGCCTACGAGGGGCGAGATGGGTGAGGATAAACTGGAAGTTTTGTGGTAATTATGCTGCAGTCTCTTTTTCCAACCAAGACGACAAGTTGCCGAAATGCTTAAGCGTATATAAATTAAGTTGTTAACATGACAAAGCAACAAAACAGTGCGAGAAGCTAAAAACAAAAAGAAAAGCCAAACAGGATCAGAGTTTCGCATTCCAATCCAAATGGCAATGGGTGTTCGAACTTCTGGCCAACTTCTGTTGGCCAACAGTGTCACTTCGATTCTGGCCAACTGACGTAACATAAAGTACAGTAAGTACAACAATCACGGGCCCAACAATCGAGCGGCAAATCACATAAATCAATGTCAGACCCGCCTGCATGCAAAGTGCGAGCGAGAGGGGTATAATTGACTTCTCAGGGGCGGGCGGAAAACGGGGGTTCTGATGGGAAAATTGACAAACTGTCAGACATTGACAGGCGTTTGGGGTTTAATTGAAATGCAAAAAGCGCAAGCGCCAAAACAACAACAGCACACGAAACAAGATGGCGCTAGCGATTAATAAACAAAAGTAAAGGGCACATAAGGAATATATATATCCAGAAAAATTATAAATTTTATAAATTTTATAATGAAAATTTATTGATATTAATTTATTTCCTATAATTTGGGAATCTTAACTTACTATCTCAATTAAAATCAAGCAATACTTTTCTTAAGCCAAAATACCCAAATATCTTTAGAAATTTGGCCACACTGCTCTTAATCAATTAAATTAAAATATATAATATTTCTATATTTAAACTCCTAAATTGTGACCTCTGTTGTTTCGTTTTGGCTTTGTGGTTTTCAGTGTTGTGGCCATAAATTGTGATTTATCAATGCATGACAAAATGCGTTTGCATTGTTATTCTGCCAGGCACTTGCCGTCTCTTTCTTAGCTTTAATACCCTCTCTTTCACTCTTTAGCTGGCACAACATTTGACACCTTTTGCTGCGCTTTGCTTGATTTATGTTTTTAATTTTTTTCAAAAATAAAGCTCACAAAATGGTTGCCTCTTCTTTTAACTTTTCTTATCTTGGAATATTTCTTTCCTTTTGTGATGTTATGCAAATTTCGTTTTCATTTCACACAAAAAACACACACAGGCATTTAAATATTTAATTGTAAGTGAAACACAGATTTCTGGTTGGGTGGTGGGAGGTATGTAAGGCTAAGTAAATATGTACCGAGTAAATAGATTTTCCCCCTCTACACTGCTATTTATTGCGCAGCTTTTGTGCGCTCTCTTTGTGAGTCGTCGTCGTCGTTTAGTGGCAATGCCCTTTGCCATCTGAGATACGAAACGGGACACAGTCAAGATGCTGGGGAAAATGGGTGGAAAAGCAGGGGAAAACCCCCATTCGGGGTGTTAAAGTAGAGGAAAAGGACGAGTATCTGCCAGTAGATGTTAAATCCCTATCTCAGTGTAACATCTTTCACTCGGGGCATCTCTTTCGCTCTTCTGCAGCTCCCCATCTACGTTTTTTTTTTTGTATCTTTTGCCCCACCACTTGGCCATATCTGTATCTGTGTTATCTAACAAAACATTCATTACATTTTTCGCAGTCGTTTTGCAGTCTACCCTTAACTTGGCTCACAGCGCATGGCCGCCCCCTCAAACTGGGGGTTGTTTTGGAGCCACCCACTCACTCACATACATACCTCTATATATAGTATTATATATATCAAGGGAAGATAACTAAAGATAGCGGGCAGAAAATTTCTATATCTGATGATGCTGGGCAAAAAAGCTGGGGGGACCAAATGGGGTTTGTTGGGTTTGTGTCTGGCACATGGCAGTTACATTCAGAGCGGTAAGCGCATATCTCTGATGTGAAATTTAATTTAAAAATTCAAATTTTATGCTCTCCTTTTTCCCTTTGGCTACTTTTGTACTACTACCATTTCTGCTCCTGTTTCTGTTTCATTTTCCAGAGGGTTGACTCTGTTTGCGGCTTTCCCTGCAGCTAATTTGACTAATTAAAACATCAGCTTAACTCATTTCCATGCTCAAGCTGCGACCTGGCACGAAACTGTTGCTAAAAATCACACCTGCCCCTGCAGAGCCGAGTTGGTTATAAAAAATCAATAAAATGTTATATGGCCAGCAAACAGAACAAGCCATTAATGTCGCTCATTAATGCTGCTCAATGAATTTTACGATCCTGACTTGGGCTTTTACTGGGTAGGTTTTCGAAACAGACGAAGGTTTTTTTTGTGGCATGGAAATGCTAAAATGTCAACGGGTCTTTGTTGTGAATTTTAAGCAGCCATAGTGGGCAACAATGTTTGACCCCAAACAGAGAGAAATCGAAAGGTATATCAGGTAAAAGAGGGATCTAATGGTCCATATAAAGTTAAGATCGGTTAATAAATTTCAAAAAAATAACTATGTACTTAAAAAATTTTTAAAAATTTTTGAAATGTTTTTTTACATTTCTCTTCTATTTTTCCAGTGCAGTGACTTGCATTTAATGCAAAACCAGAGTTGCAATAGACTGACAACCCCGTCCATTTCCCCTGGTAACCTTAACTCCCATTGGAAGGCATGAAAATCGTCATTAATATTTGTCACTGGCCATTGAATGGGGGCAGCGCGAACCCAAATAAATTATGGAGCCGGCCAGAGGCAAGGTGGAGCCTTGTGGTCAGTGGCTGACCAAAATGAATGTGCGCTAGACACGCGCATGGTCCACCCTACCCCCTGATCTTAGCCCCGAACTGCGTGTTCGTTGTCTGTAAATAAAATAAAAGGGTTAGAAAATGCACAAGCAACCCTTTTGTGGCGGGGGTGGTGTTGGGCTGTGCTGTAACCTGTGTAAAATTATGCATTTGCATATTAAACAGTCACCATAAATTCATTCTAGAGGCGGAGAGAGGGGGTCAGCAAAAGCGAAAGCTGATTTCCCGCTTAACAAGCTCACCAAAAAAGTTAAAAAAAATAAATATATAAAAAGAGTTGATATAAAACGAGAGGAAGACAAGACAAAAGGCTGGCTTGGCCTTAATCATCATCAAGGGGCAACCCTTTTACTGGTCCTGGGCAGAATTTGAGCCCTGGTTTGAGCCTCTTTCATTATTATTATTGGCACGCCCCGTTTTTGCTGCGTTGCGTTGCGCTTCGTATCGTTAATTTTTAATTGATCTGCGCGGCTGCATTCCCTTTTTTCGCCGATCAGGTTCGTCAGCTCGCCTTTGTTGTGGCCCCAAGTGCATTTTAATAGCATTAGGCCCCCACTTAACAAGATCTCCTAGCGCCCCAAAATAAGAATAACCAAAAAATAAACTAAAAGAATCGAAAACAAGCTTAATGCCCGCGATTGCGTATACGCCCCGTTGGCTGCCTTCGATGATGATTGATGATGAAGAGGCCAAAAGGAGTAACGTACATTGAACTTCTCTTTTGTTTTTTTTTATTTTGCAAGTTACCTTTATTTTTCGTGATTTTATTATATTTTTTCGATCTGCTTTAGTTTTGATTTGGCTGGCTGTCGTTCGATTATCGATCGTCTGCCCTTGTGCATTTAATTTTTAGCGTCACAGCCTACAATCGATTCGATTTTCCCACGGGGAACCCGAGATGCCACAGCTGGCCCCAAAATGTGTTAATTAGTTTTCCCCTCTATTCTCCCCGTCTCTTTCTTTCCAGCTGCTGCCATCTCTTTCTCTTTCTCTGTTTTTGTTTCTCAGTGGGTTGGCCACAAACTTTGTTAGCCCGCTGCGATCGTTTAAGCCTGGTTTATGGCGGTTAACCGTTTGACTGTTGAGCTGTTAGCGTTGAAATACGCCCGCGGATTAATAATTAATTAAGCTCTATTCTCCAAATGCATTCATAAGCGATTGTGTCAAGTGTTGATGGGTTTATTGTGGTTAACTACACATTTTTTTTTTCAAATGCCAATCGACAGAGCTTTTCTTGGTAACGCTCTAAGCGGCATGCAAATGTGACATAAGCCAATGTAATAAGCGTAAGAATAAATAATTTCCAACGTTGTTTTTTGTTTTTGCCATGACGTGGCCGTCGTTTTGTTCAATTTACTGTGTGAAAATTCGCATAAATTAAGCTGGCAGCAACTGAGGCATAAATATTATGCAAAATGCAAGCGCCGAGTGCCGCCCCCTTTTAGCCCCCCTTGAAAACCCCTTTGAAAAATTATATAAGTCACGATCGGTGAGATGAGCAGCTGCCTGTTGACTGCGATTGACCCCAGCTTGAGTTTAGTGTTCTTTGCGGATTTGCGGCTTTTAAACATGGATTGGCAATTAGCCATAGACACAAAGTGTTACTAAGGTTTTGTACTCGGAAATAGCTATTTTTGTAACATTTACTTGGACTAACAGTGTATGGCAAATGTGACAAATGCCTTTCAAGGCTGCCACCAAAAAGGCTTGGCTATTTTCAGAGGCAAAAAGGCAGTTAGCCTGCGGCTTAAAGGCGAAAACAAAACGAAACCTTAACGCTTATAAAAGTTTTCGGGGCCTTATAATTAAATGCAATTATTGCGACGCCAGCGGGCTGCTTAGCCAGAGTTCAGCAACAACAAAGGAGCGGAACAACTGGAAAAACATATGTAAGCGAATGGGGCCGGCAAAGGCTGAAAGCTAAAGACTGAAAACTTTAAACTGAAACCGAAACTGAAACTCAGTTGCGGGCTAAAATACATAAATTAAAAATTTGCATTGTTCTGTTTCGAGGAGGTATACTATACAACAAAACACAACACAAAAAGGCAGAATTTTGCGCTGGAAGAGTAACGACTTGTTGACTGTTTTCATACAATTCGGAAATTTAATTAAAGGCGGCCCCAAAGCAGCAGACAATGAGGACCGGTTCCCCGCCCCCTTTTTACTTTTTTTTTTTTTTAGCTGCAGGTGCATCGTATGCAAAATCCCCAAACGAAATCCCAGCAAATCTTGACCCTCCTCGCCTGCTCGTCGCAACTCAAAGATCAATACAATTGCCACCCAAAGAGTTTCGGGGCCAGAGATTCCCAGTGATTTCAATGGTCAGCCAGCCTCGAAGGCGAAGGCCGGAAAAAACAATTGAATTGCATTTCAAGCAGCTAAGGACATTTGAAGTTGATGGGCCGCATCCTGTGGTACCCCTGAAAATACCACCGGTGCGACAGAGAAAGGAGCGAGTGGTCCATAAGTCAGCTGAGTGCCACATAAATTTTAATTTGTTGCATATTTTGTCAACCCGAAAAGTCCAATGGATCTGCGAGGAGTTGGCTGACTGGCTGACTAGCTGACTGGACTGGAAAGAAATCCAGCTGTGAATTTCTTGGGAATTCCCTACGTCAGCGGGGGAACAGCGGGATAATAATGGTTTATTTATGTTAATGTTATGCAATCAAAACGCATACGATTTAAATGCCAATAAAAAATCAACGCCGAGCCACGCGAAGCCTTTAGTGTTTAACAGTTTGTTTGTTTGTTTGTTTGTGGTTGTTGCCGTGTTTATATGGCTGTTGCCTGCCTTTTTACGCATCTTTAATAGACCAATTTTTCGTGTGGTTAGGCTCTTCGCGTTCGCGTTCGCTGCTTAAGTCTTTCGTTTCGTACTGGCGCCACAAAATAAAAAAAAAACGGAAAACGGAGAACCTGACCGCGCGACAAGGTTACAGATATTTTCATAGTTTGTTGATGATCCAGCTCGATAAAGACCCTAACCCACACACAAACCCAAAACTCCGGCTGCCGTCTGATTATGTTTTTAGTGCGCTAAGTGATAATGATGATGCACCTCGATCGCTATCAGCCAGCATCCAAATCGAAAGCATTTTTCCCATACCACTCCAATCAAGAAACGTAAAGAGTTTCTGGTTCCCGGAATCGTATTATGACATTTGAGAACTTTCACGCTGCTTTTTATGGCCTTTGGCGACAGAAACGCTGGCCGAGATTGATGCTCATGTGCAGCGATTTCCCAGGAACTCGCCCCACTCCCCCGATTCGGTTGCTGAATTTATTAGTTAATTTGATCGAATGTGTGGATGTTTAAACCAGCGGGTTGTGTATCCGTGTATCTGGGTATCTATGGGGTATTTAACTCACCAGTCTTCGCTTTGGCTTGATCAGGGGTCGGTTCTGGCCGTTCATTTTGTAGTACAGGCCACAGGCGTTGCACAGATAGTGTCCCGTTCCATCGCGTCGCCACAGTGGCGTCGATGTGGCGCCACAGTTCACACACTCGCGTCCCTCTGCAAAAATTATCAGATATGCAAATATTATAGGAAATGTTTAGTATTTTTAAAAGGTATAATTTAAGGTTGAATACATGGGGAAATTATAATAATTATTGTTAATGCCTTATTGTTTAATGAATTACAGACCAAGTTTTCTTAAACTAAATGCAAAGTATAGACTTAATTTGAGGACCTCTTTAAAGATATATTGAATTTACAGGAACAAATTTGTTATATAAAATATCCATTTTGAGATCAAATGAAATAAATTTTAATTGTAATTAGGCCTTTAAGGAACAAAAGTGCTATATAGTTCATGAAAAATATTTTTTAACTATTTACTTTATATGCAAATATTTGCAAGGGTAGGTGCTTGTTAATAATTTTTTTTTATTGTAGAAAACTTTTCTGTAATCAAAATTTTAGTTGCAGACACCAAATGATATGAAAATGTGACCTGAAAAGGTGATTTAAATGAGATATTATTTTCTTTCCGTGTCGCATTCTTGGGCGATTGTGTTGGCGAACTTTCTGGGGGCACTGTCTTCCGCACATTTGTATGGGTTGTGTGGGTTAATGTTAACCCAAAGCGCGCGACAACAACATGATGCACAGCAGCAGCAGCAGTAGGGGCAGCAGCAACATCAGCGGAGGGCAACATTTTTCAGCTGTTTCTCAGTCATTTTGATGTCTTTTGTTTTTGTGTGTATGTTGGCTTTCCTTAGTTTTTTCTTGGTTTTTTAACATTCTTTTTTTCCTTTATTTTTTTTTTGGGTTGCTGGGCAAACGCATGGAAGCGGAAATGATGGATTCGCTGGGGTCGGCCGTGTAGCCCCGTCTCTTTCGCGGGTCGCTTCCGTCTCTTTCGTGCACTGCCTCTGCTGACTTTACACATTTTAATTAAGCAGCGACAGCGACTTCGTTCTAGTGACTGCAGTTCGACGCCCCTCTCTTTCTAACCCTCAGATACCCCTCTCTTTCGCACCCTAGAGCTGTAACTGTAAGTCAGCCTCATTTGAATAAGTTTAGTCATAATTTGTAAGCAAAGTTGATTTGACCCGAGGGAGCGAGATGAAGTTGCAAATGTAACGCGTTATTAACGTTCCATATTACAGTTGTCTTCGTTTTTTTTTTTTGGACCGAGAGTTTTCTCCTCGGAACTCCCCCAACTTTTACCCGACTCATTTAATGACGCCACTAAATGGGCTTCATTATTTCGGTTTTTCCTGCGTTGTGTTTAATGCCTCGAGTCTTTTTTGTTTGTGCCTTGTTTTGAAATTGAAATTTAGTCATAAACCCATAGAGTCATAGAGTCACTCCCCCCGAAAAGCACCATTAGCTAAGCTAAAAAGAAAACCGAAAGATTTAACGCTACTTTTGTGGGGTTTTAGGCCGCTGGCGTAATTAATTAAGCCAACCTTTTTACATGGCCACATGAGCATAACTTTTTATTGAATATTAGCCACTGGGCAAAAGGCGCACCCAAAATATAAAAAAAAGCAGGGATATCTCATTAAGTGCGTTTGTCAACCGGTCGCCTGCTGAAATGCCATTAGGGGAATTCCAGTTGCGTTTTGATGACAGAACCGGGCTTTATTTTTATTTTCATATTTCGGGTGACTTTGCCTCACGTGATTTACTTCACGCAGCCATTGTCACACGTGTCCTGTGGAGTCCTGTGGAGTCCTATCTCTGGCATTTCAGGCATTTTGTTCTTGAGCTTTCAAAGAAATTAAATAAAACGCTCTGCGTGTTTTGCCCACTCCCCTCTTTAGACAGCATGTGGTCAAGTAATCTCTTTGGTTTGTTTTTACTTGTTTTTTGTTCTGTTTTTTTTTGTGAACTGCCCCCGGTGCGTTAAATAAACAGTTCATTTGTTTCCATTTAATAGCAAGTTTGCGCTGCCTTGGTTTATTTTTCGTGGATTTTTTATGCCACTTTTTTAATTGCCCGGGCGTGTTTTCCTTTTCTTTGTTTTTTTTCTGCGTAAAAGTGCCGCCAATCAGTGGAGAAACACCCACTGAATTAAAATTGCATAAATTATGGCGAGGAGAAGAAAACTTTTGCTGTGAATTTCTCTGTGGCTCTTATTTTTTCTTATATTTTTTTAGCATCCCCCTATACAGCTATAAATTTTCACCTGCCCCAGTCATGCATATTTATGTAAGCCACATCTGTCTTCGGTTTGCACCTCGAACAGAAGCCGTTGAGAAATTGAAAACTTTATGCATTTATTAGTTTGTCATAAAGCAGAACAACGGAAGGCCATCGTCGAGTGCTTGGCATTTACATAGCATAAAAGGAGAGCTCTTGTTTTCCATCATATTAAGCCATAAAGTGTGGCCATTGTTAGGGTTTTCCTTTGGTTTTTCAGTTTTTCAGCTTCCCGGAAAGTGGTTGGGGATCCGTGGATCCTCCGCAAATCGGAATATCCACTCGGCAGTTAATAAATCAAACGTGTTAATGATGTTTTTACCCTACGTGCCCACTTTTGACACACAAAAAGGCAGCCAAAGGCAGCCAAGTTGGCCGAAATTGAAAGGGAATAAAACTAAAGTCCCCAAAACCGAAGTTGGCTGCTGCGCACGCGCACTGGGAATTCTTGGTTTTAACTACTTTTTGATTCGACTCCTATTTATAGCGATCCTGTGGCTAGACCTTCTGTGTTTTATGGCCATCGAGCATTTGTTTTAGATTTTCCCTCGGCTTTGTTTTGGTTTCAATCTAGCCCCCTTTTTCTTTTCTTGTGGCTAGTCCCCTGCTCGGGTTTTATTTATTTTTATTTTCGTTTTCCAGAGAGAAACACGTAGCAGGTTGGCCTATGATTTAGTAGCCTGCTTATAACTGTTTTCCACCTACCCCCACCACTTACATCATCTTCTGTGGTCCATGGGCCCAGCCAGTCATCTGGCTGTAATTTCCTGGAAATTTGTGCACACTTTGGTATTTCTTCGTCGCCGTTTGTTTTTTACGGTGTGACATTGTCTGGGTCCCAAAACTCAGGCCCGAACCCGAACCCGTACCCAAACTGAAACTGAAACCGAAACCAAAACTGAACCTGTTTTTAGGGCCTGATTTGGCAGCCTTCCTCTTCCTCTTCTCGAGCCCTCGTTCGGGGTCTAAAGGTCCCACTAACTGTTGCTGCTTGATTTGACATTTGGCGTCAGTGGGCCATAATTGTCTAGAATTTATGTGTTGTACCTTTTTCTCGTTAATTTGTTGAACCTGGTATTTTCATATATGTATGTGCATGTGGGCAGCAGATCGACAGAGAGAGATCCTGAGAATCTCCCAGTTTTTAATTAGTTGTTTGGATTAATATACAGATTTATGGGCTGGTTAGGATAGTTAAGATAGAGACAATTACTGGTGAGCAAGACAAAAGACACATGGATGTGTGTGAGTAAATAGTTGTTGTTGCTGCTGTTGATTATTTTGAAAATTTCCAAATGAAAATGCTTAAAATACTTAAACAATATATAGAAGAACAAACGAATTAAATTAATTAAATGAGTGGTAAAAATGAAGAGTATGCGAGTGGCATGATCGAAAGGGGTTATAAATTGCAGTGGGTTAGGGGGAATATAGGGGATATATTATTTGTATGGGGCTGGGGGTGCATGCCGCAAATAAATGGCAAGCGCCTCATTTTGAGGCCACAGCTGTCAAAGCGCGGACAAAGGAACAATGCCCGCTGTTCGGGGCTTAAAGTCCTGATTGAGTGAAGTGAGGTATGCGAGAGGAACTGCGGATCCCATAACCCACAATCCCGAGACGAAGGTTCCGAATCGCGAGTGTCCATACCCATATCAATTACTTAAAGCTCATTCACAACATTTTTTATTTTCACCTGACAAAAGCCCAAATGGCATCCAATCAATTCCCTGGCCAAGTTGCAGTGGCAACGAGCCACAAAAGCCACAACACATGTTCTTGCGCCCGAAAAACTTATCGCCAGCGATGCGATAAACGATAAATAAATACAGGCAACAAGATGCTGCCGGGATGGGACTAACGAAGGCAGACAATGTTTTTTTTTTCTTCTCCTGGTTAGTTAACTTAAGGCCAGCTAAAAGGAATGACAACAAAAAAAAAAGGAGAAGAAACTGTCGCCGGGCCAAGAGAATGAAATAAAATAAAATCTGCAAGCGTTTTGTCAGGCAAACTTAACGTATTTTTTTTTTGAGCTGTACGAGTATCTTTACGAGATGTTGCTTCCTCATTTGTGGCTGTCTCTTAACACAGTCATGATTATATGGCTCATACGAGGGTTACGAATCTATTTGCATTTGGTGGGTGCAGCTGGAAATCAAGGTGTGCTCTTTGTGCTGTAACAAACGAACAATTGCAGTGGTGCGAAAAGTGCGCGGTAACAATTTGCCCTTAACCAGAGGTTAGACGGCGCTAACAGATGGTGTTGCTGCGGTGCCACAATGTTGCTCTGGTGGCAGAGGTTGGAGTTGTTGAAGTAGTTTTCCTAACTGAATCGACAGATTATCATACTTTCTCCATGTTAAGGCTAACATTCCAATATCTTTCCCTTAAAAAAATGTAACTGGAAGTTAAAAAAGTTGTTCTTGCAACTAATGTTGCCCTTAACCAGAGGTTAGACGGCGCTAACAGCTGGTGTTGCTGCTGTGCCAGAAAGTTGCTGCATCGACAGATTATCATGTTTTCCCTTAACAGAATTTAACTGGAAGTTAAGAGAGTTGTTCTTGCAACTAATATTGCTACTAGCAGGCTAATGTTGCTGCTGTGACTAATGTTGCCGCTGTGTTTGCCTTTGCCAGCTGGTTTTCCTTAGCTGGTTTGGCTGCTTGTTTTTGGGGGTTGGCTGTGGCAGCAGACCGACCCTCACGCATGTGGCAAGTGGCAGCTATAAAGATGTCGTTGTTGCTGTTGCTGACGATGTTGCTGTTGTTGCTGCTGCTGTCGGGCCATGCAAAAACGCAACGCTAAAGCAGGTGCAGCAGCCTGCAACTTCCGCAGCGAATGCGAATGAATGTGTGCTTGTTTGTGTGGTGGGTCTTTTCAAACAGCAACAACAGCAGCACAGTCAGCAGAGGCAGCAGCAACATGAAGTAATTAACAACCACAACAGCAGCAACATCATGAGCCACTGGAGCCGAGCAAAGCGTTGACAATAGCATTGAAGTTGCTGCCGCAGTTGCAGCTATTGTTGTTGCCGTTGTTGTCATTGTAATGTGCTGATTTCATGGCAAGCGAATACACGGCGTATACGCAACGGAGGAGGAGGAGTAAGGGCCCTTGCCCTGGGATCTTTCTGCATATTTTTACGCTGGCCGCGAAGGCAGGAAACATGCTCAAGTGGCGGGAATGTGGCCAGCATGCTGCTCCCGAGCACATGTCAAGTGGGGCATAAGATGGGGGGTTTCCCTTGCCCCCCTTTTTTATAGAGCAGGAGTTAAGTGATGAAGAGTTGGGATTCGGTTTTGAACTTCCCACGTGAGCGTGTGAAAGAGCAATGGCAATCAAAGTAAGCGGGATGGTGGTTGGGGGTTTCCAAAATGATAACTACAAACTAAAGTGAAAACTAAACAATAAGTGGTTCACTTTGAGACTGTTTATAGGGTAAGTAAGCCCTTATAAACAGCCTCATTGCACACAACACTGACATAAACATAAAGTTAAAGTTAATCAATCGATGGCGAGTAACAATGATTATTCACCCACACCGAGATCGCATAATGTCTATAAGCTTTTGTCTTGCTTACCGGCACTTGTCCGCGGCTTGGTCCGTACGGGCTTCACATCCAGACCGCCGCTGCCCGCATTGCTGCCGCCGCCACTGTGACCGCTCAGCGATCCCGCTCCGCCGCTGTTGCCGCTCATGCTGCCCATGCCGGCGGTGCCGCCCACCACCGAGCCGCCTAGCCCGTGCATTCCCGAGGAGGACGAGCCACCATGGTGGTGGCCACTGTGGTGGTGATGGTGATGGTGGTGCGCCTGCGCAGCGGCCATACTGTGACGCACTGCAGCCGCGGCCACCGAGGAACTTTGGAACATATTCGCCGCCGCCACCGCAGCGGCCTGATGATGCGCCGCCGCATGGTGATAGGAGGCATAGCTGCTGGTGTCGTAGCCACCTGAGCCACCGCCACCGCCACCACCTCCACCCCCACTCCCACCGCCACTGCTGTACGCCTGCGCCGTTCCATCGAACAATCCGTTCGAGGATGTGGCTGCGGAGGCGGCGGCTGCGGCGGCGGACAGGGAAGCTGCTGCGGCGGATGACGAGGCGGATGTGTTGCTGCTGGCGGTGGTGTTGCTGTTGCTGCTGCTCTGTTGCTGCTGCTGCTGTTGTTGCTGCTGCTGCTGCTGCTGCTGTTGCTGCTGCTGACTGCTGCTGGTGGAGTTGGAGCTGGAATTAGTGGTGCTGGTGGTACCTTCGCGCTGCTTGGGGGTCGACGTGTGGGTGGTGCCGCTGCCGGAGGATCCGCTCGCACTCCCGTTCTGGATCGACGGCTTGATGTCCAGCGCACAGCTGGCGTCCGTCAGTGAGGTAGAGCCCGTGGCCTGTTGGTGCATAAACGCGTTCATCACGGCCTGAAAAAGATGGGGAGTACTTATGAGTTTACTACTTACAGAAGAAGCACTGAGATGATCCTACTATTATAAAACCTGAATGTTTGTTAAGCCACAAAAAAATAATTTAGCTTTGAAGTCTAGTTTTTAACTATCCTTTGAAAAGCATTCCTGAAACTTCATTAGGATTCGAAATTTTTTGAACATACGACTCTTAAGTTTCAATTTAATTTTAAGGTCAAGAAAATTATGTATTTTGATATAAAAACTAAATTAGTAAAGTTTTCAATGTTACCTCTGCCCTATGTAGGATGCCATGATTAAATAAATTCAGTAAGATAGTCTACATTTAAGTAAGTGTCATATGGCCTTTACCTAACAAATACTCGATTAATTTGTATCGATCAATTCCGATTGTTAATTTTAAATATTAAATAATATTTATTTTGATTTTATTTATCCGTTAATAAGCATAGGCCAATATCATACTATAAATACTCTAATATTTTTTATGATGACAAGAAAATACCTCAGAGATTCCTCTGTTTTTAATTATCGATATAAATCGAAATTGATATAGATTAATATTTATAGCAAGATGTCTAAATAAATCAACAGATAGAAACTTAAGGTCTAAAGTTTTCCTATAAACAGACAGATATCTGCCTGTTTTCCCCCCACTTCGAAACCATTCACCTTAACTAAACTTAATCGAAATAATCGCCAATCGCTCGATTGCCCGAAGACATCAGCACCAGCAATCGAGGCAGTGCATCACACTCACCTGGTACTCGGATGGACCGGTTTGCACGGAGTCGGGCGTGGAGTCCTTTGGCGGCGTCGGCGGGAAGGGGAACGAGTGCTGTCCGGCGGCCGTCGTCTGGTGGCTCTGGCCCATCTGGCCCAGCTTGTGCTCCACCTGCGGCTCCTGGGGGCAGGCGAACTGGCCCATGCTCCAGGCGCTGGCGGGGGCGAAGGACTTGTGCTCGCTGGTCAGCCAGGGACTCAGCGGGGTGTGGAAGTGGGGCCGGCACACTTGGGGCGAGGCATGGGTGGAGGGCATGCGGGATGCTGGAAACACAAGAAATAAAACCGAAAAGGGGGTTAAGAATTTAATAAACTCTCGCTGTGCGTCGCATCAACTTAAATGCTGCATTAAATCAATTATGGCCCAAATTTATAACGAAGATTAACCGACTAAGCCGCGACCAGAAGCGATCAAAATTCGTAATAAATGACGTTGTTTTTTGTACTGTCTTTTCTTCTTTCCTCTGTGGCTGCCGCGCAAATTTGCGGAAAAGCTGCGTTATAATTTATGAAACACCAGCCAGCCAAGAAAAAGGAAAAAAAAAAGAGAAAAAGAGCCGCCTCAGAACCTCTGACCACCGATGGAACCACTGGAACCACCAACCATTCATTGCTCGCGGCCTTCGGGCCAACAACTTTGCATATGGCCAAGACCATAGAGTTGGCCACATAACGGGGACAAAAGGGGGGACAAAAGGAGCTGGGGCACTGCGACTGCGACTGGGACTTCTGCATTGTCATAAATTGTTTAATTTGTATCATAAACAATCGCGTTAAACTTTTGTCCCAGAGCTAAAAAGATCGATCAACGGCTCGGGCCGGCTCACCTCGGCTTTTGGCCGGGCTAAAAGTGTAGCCTAAATGTCTGGCAGTGTATAATTTAGCAGACACCAAGTGAGATTTATGTGCGCCAATGCTGCCGGTTACTCCATCGATCGGATCGGATCGGTTCGGATCCTATACTATCCCAGTCGATCCCTGGCGGATCGATCGACGGATCCGACAGATCCCCATATCCTCGCAGCGGGTGTTTTTCGACTTTCGAGTGGGGCATGGGCGGTGGGGATGGGGGTTAGTGGCATTACCAAAGGGGGCAGGCACGTTGCAATTGTTTGGGGCGCACTTATTCTTATTATTATCATTAATATTGGCTGCAGCTCCCCAAAGAGTCGCAAGTCGCTGGCCCTCGGGGCTTGTTTGTATGTGAAATTATTTTTGATTATGCAGCAGCAGCGGCAGCAGCAACAGCAACTGCAACAGCAACAGCTACGGCAGCAACATCAGCAGGAGCAACAGCAGTCCAAGCTGGTTGGCCAACAGTAGGTCAGTTCGTTGGACGCCAAGATGGATTAGGCCAAATCAAGACGAGATTCAAAAGAAACTTTAAAAAAAAAATGCGTGGAAGAATTGGGAATGCTCTTATTTAAGAGATATAAAGAAATTCGTAGAGATTATCAGTGGATTTTTTGAGAAAAGATCAGGATCAGCACAGATAATTACCAAATATTATTATAATAATATATTATATATTAATCTTATATCATCATAAAACTATGATATATCAAACATAATTGCACACATATTACAACACCCATTAATAAAATGTATCTCATAAAAATCTTCATCATGATAACTTCATCTAATCCAAAATACCTATGGGTAAGTGTATTCAGCCTTCGGTAGATGGAAAAAACCCCAAACACGATCGATGGATCGTTGAATCGCTGCTTTGGTCGGATCGCTGGCTGCGATAATATCCATTTGATTATCCTAATAACAGTGCTTTAGTGGCGATATTATATGTACGTGTGCCTGATTATAGAAATTAGCTGCAGCAGCAGCAGGAGCATCGTCAGAAGCAGAAGTACCCCATGTAGAACCACAGATCTCTTCTTGGGAACACTTTTCCCCCAGTGCAATGCCTCAATCAAATGTGCTTATTGCTTTTCCCGATCTGCTGTGCCGACTTCACACTTTTGCGCCAACGACAAAGTGGAAACCTCTCAAAAAAAAAATGAAATAGATCCACTATAACCATATGAAGTCGTCATCGGATCTCGGGTGTATGTAATTTGCGAAGATCGAGGGAAATAATACCATTGGTCATGGTAAATTATATAGTCGGACGGTTGCATCTTTCAGCCCGTTGCCAAATGAATGTCCGATGCGTTCTTTAATTGGCATGGCGAAACTTTCAATTTGCCAGCCGATGGTGTTGGCGATATCAGCGGGCTGTTAATGTTAATCCCAAGTTATATACGTATTATATGTATGACTCACATGTGGCTTACTCGTTTTTTACTACCTTTTTTTTGTGTTTTTTTTTTTTTTCTGCTGGTCGTATAAAACAATTCGCTAATAAATCAAGCTGAGTACACAGCAATTAAAGTTGCAAACTTGAAACAAAAAGAACGACATTTTTTGCTGATGTTATTGTTGTTGGCCGGGCGGTATGCAAAGCTCGTGCTGGTGGAAAACGCTGCCCTTGGTCGTCTCCAGGTTAAAACAAAAAAAAATTAAAAAATTAAAAAAAAAACCAGCCAGCCTGACACGTTCTACAGAGCCACAACAAAAAACGGCTAAGAAAAAAAAAACCAACAACATTTTGAAGCTTTTGGCCTGCGCTTGATTTCTTCAAACTGACAGATCAAAGCCCCCAAAAGCCGCCGCTCTCTTTTGGCCCGGTCTCCTCTCTCTCTTGGACATTTCTATGGCGTTTTAAAAGCGTTTGACAGCGCTCAACGCTCTCAGCGCCTGTCCATCTATAAGACCGATTCGGAAACTGAAGCCGAAAACCCGGCTTAAAGCGCCTTTTAATTGCAATCGAAGCTGACGCTTGACGACGACGTGAATGACATAATTAATGTATTTGAATATATACTTATGCCTTTACTTACATACTTATATATATGTACGTAGGCCGGTTTGTGTGTGCACTTAGCCGGACGTGTTGGACATTTGAAGATGACAGTTAAAAAAAACAGGTGAGTCTTCAAAAAGCTGGATGACCAGAAATCAGAGAGGAGAAAACCAGCTTCAATTAGTTAAATGCATCAGCTGCCGGCCAAGTTATCATTTCGGCCATCGCATCATTTGAATTTCAATGGGAGAGGACAACAAAGCCAAAGCAGGGTGGTAAACCATCTTGATAAGGACGAAAAGGGATTTCTGTCTCTCTGGCGATGGTAAATTAAATTCACACCAAAAAGGATTGGTTTTTGGGGTGCTAGAGGCTGGGCGCTGTTATCAATCGATGAAAATCAAATCCGCAAATGAGTGAAACGAGAGACTCCTCCTTAACCGTTTTTCCAAGGAAACTTGTGTGAAATGTCAGTGCTGGTCGATTAGTGGATTTGGCCGTTTCAGTTGATTCAGTTGATTCAGTTGATTCAGCTGATTCAGCTGCTTCCTGCCAGCGAGCAGCAACAATCAATCATGCGAACGGGAACAGGACGAGGCAATCCTGCAGCTCCTTCAGGACCTCATCGAACCCCTCTGTCTCTCCAAAAAGGCCCAATGTCTGCAGGCGGTGGCTTAATTTATAGCCTGAGCTACCCTCGAGAAACAAGGACTTTTCTTTTCACCTGCTCGACGGGCGATTTGATGTTGCTGTTGTAGGCGCGTGGCTCCAAAATGCGGTCAAGTGTCTCTCGTCGGCGGCCCTGTTACACCTGCTCCAAAATTGGAAATTGTTTAAGCATGCAGCGGTGGCAGCAGCAACAACATCTACCAACGGGCCATAAACTATAACGGATTCCAGTTTTAGCCACCACCGCCAGCGAGATCGAGAGCTCAGCAGGTAGGTCAGTTTTGGCCGCTCGAAGACACCTTGATAGTTATAGATGTGCACGGGGAAAATATACTATGCTTTCTTGATGTGTCTTAAAAAAACTTACTGAACTTGGAAAGTATCCAAAGAATATATTAACAACAATTAATTACATCCCTTATTACCAAGTCTTAAATCCAGCTTTGTGTAAAATTCCACGAAGGCATAATAAAATGTATTAACAAAAGTTGACTGTTAAATATCTTAGCTTCATTTTAATTAAATGCCAATAAAATTAAATGTTTGTATAATAACCTCATGTTTTGAATATTTATAAAGGTTGTTAAGCTCATTAAACAATTAGACGTTAAAATTGCTTTGAGCTCAAAATAATAAAAACCAATAATAAAATATTTTTAACATATATCTTTTTTAACTAAGATAAGATAAGAGATTCTAAAGGTTGGTTTTAATCAAAAAACCTATAAATAATAGTATTACAAATAAATAGGTTATTAATTTTGTATATTTTTTAAAGAGTATCAAATACAAAATATTTTTAAACATTTTTGGTAATGGAAACCAAAGAGAGCCGAATATCTAAGGAAATTGCTAAGCTCATAGATTCTATTATAAGTTAATGGAACCGTGCAAAGTTATTTTGTTTTTTGAGCATCATTTTGTAGTAGTAGTAAGTAAGGCAATCATTTCTCTCGGTGTACCTCCAACAGTAGCTAAAGTTGAAGCTGAAATTGAAGCTGAAACTTGGGTCTCTCGACTGCTTAGCATTTTGCGCGCTTGTTTGTTTTAATTATTTCTTTGCTTTCTGCAGTTGCGTGACTCCGACTGACTGACTGACTGAATGACTGGGTGACTGAATGACTGCAAGAGTGCCCGAAGGACTGGTTGATTGACTGAATGACTGACGGAATGACTGACAGAGGCAGGCTGCATTATTAAGCGCAAACTGCGCTGCCGCCGCCATCTATATTATTAACACTTTATTTGCAGCCCCCGGATCAGCGTTGCATGCCAGCTTATCATTAGTCATAAGTTGTCAATTGTATTTATGATAATGCGTTTAATAACTCAAGTAGCTGGAGTAGCTGGAGCAGCAGCGCCTTGTAAGTTATGCCGTTGCACAACGCACCGCCCTGGTAAAAACATGAATATTTTGTATTTTTTGAGGAATTCTCTGGGTTATTAATTGCTTTATAATTGACGTATTACCAGGACAGAGCTGCTGCTGCGCCGCGACGGGAATTTCACTCCCAAAAAGGAGAAAAAAAAATGAAGAAATACAATGAGAGCTAACCAGTTAACCAGCTTGTTTGGGCCAACGTGTGAATTACGTGGCCTGGCTTTTGCTTTTGCTTTGGCTTTTGCATACGTGCCACAATGTGGCAGCCACAAAAAAAGGCAGGAAAATGGGAAAACACGTTGACAACAACAGCGGCGAGCGGCAATGGGAGTTGGGCTGGGTCTGAAGTGCGCC